CTTTCCCTTTGGTTTTTTTTTCGGCCTCTCCTTTAACAGCTCGTTTATATAGTCAAGCAAAATCTTGGAGGCCACTCTCAAGCCCCCTCATCCCAACCGTCTCTGTTTAGGGAGAAAATCCCAGCCGTCTCTCCCTTTGTCTTCTTTCACAGCTAGCGTTGTGGACGTACAAAACCGTTTCTGCTGGAATCAAGCTAAAACCGTGATCTGCAGCTGCAAAACTGGGCGCATGGACGAGCGAATAAAAGGCCTCACAGAAACAGCTGCAGTGGAGGGAAGGAAAATGCAGATGGGGTACAGTGCCACGTTTATTAATTCAAAACGGGGCTGTTTCAAAACAGTGCTGCCTTGTTTCCTCAGCTGAAGAAGGAAAAAAAAGTGCGAACTAATGTATGATGGTGTCGTTTGTTGCTGAAAAAAATAAGGCAAAGGTAAACACAAAAGCAGCCACGTCATTCAATGTGGCAGATTCTTATTTTCTATTCAATCCCGTTTCTTCAATTCCTTCAACTCCGGTGAAATTTCTTCTAATTTCATTTAAAATCAATTCTCTTATTTTAGCATTTTTTAATTCAATCCATTATCCAAAAAAATATTCTTCATATTGATTTGAAATTGATCTTCAAACTTTAAAAATATAGTTAGAATTATACAAAATCAAGTTAGACTCAAGATATAAGTTGAAATAAAAATTACAATAGCAGAATAACCAAAAAAATTTAGTGCAATTTCTAAAGAATTTATCCAATTTTAAAAATTAGATAAAAATAAACTATTATAGCATTATAAAAACTCCTAATTAGCTTAAAAATCCTAACAATTTTGATAATAGAGAAGAAGGATAAAGATAGCAAAAAATGGTTGAAATAGAGTTTGAAAAACATTTTTTTTTCTTTGCTTTAGTCAATTTCTCAACAACCTTGAACCAAACTCCTATCTTCAATTTAAAAAGAATATACACCATCTTCATTAGCACGTAAGGCTAAAAAAATAAGTAACAACTATAATAATCATTTGTATCCTTACATTGATCTAAATTAATGATCAACTCAACCTGTGACTTGAACTTGACCCTAGATCAACTTCTAAGTTAACTTTTACAAATATAATAATAATTTTTATTATTCATATATTGATCCAAGTTAATAAATTAATCCCTGAGTCGAGTTTTTAAACTATAATAAACATTGATCCAAGTCAGTGGTCAACTCGACCTGTGATATAAGGCTGGCTCTGGTTTGACCTCCCGAGTTAGATTTTAAAACTATGATATTAATTTCTTTTTATTTTTATATTGAACCGGGTCAAGTCCAATTAAGTTTTAAAACTATAATAATAATTATTTTTAATTTTAATTAAATTGAACAAAATTAATTAAATTAACCCTATTAACCTTTTTATAGAAAATTGAAGCTAGTTAGACAAAAACTTATCCACTAGAACAGCTTTAAACATGACAAAATTTAATTTTTATATTGTTCAAAGGTGGGCCAAATAACACAAAAAAAATATTATCATGGCTAATCTATTATTATCCACCATACCAAACAATACCTAAATAAAAAAAATAAAAAAACTTTCGCTAAGTCAATTTTTGTCCACCTCGTTTCCTTGAACATTAACTGGTTCCAAAAAAAAAATCGGGTTAATTTAGAAGACGTGTTGACTGAGTCGTTTATAAAATCTTTGGCATTGATCCCTGAAAGGAGGAGAATTTTGCTTTTAATCAAAACAAAAACTGTTGATATCAGAGTTCGACAAATAAAAAACTTATCAAAAAAGACTAAAATTAAACGTCATACCCTTTTTCATCTCCTTTATGAAGAGTCTGCTCTATTCTTCTTCTTGTATGGCCTTCTTGTATAGACTTTTAGTCTAAAGATAATTTTAAATAATTGGATAATCACAATATCATTGATGTCTAAAATACACACACCTACAATAGCTAAAATGATTTGATAAATTTAGACTTCAAAAATAATTACAACGTAAAGGAAAATAAAATAAATGAGTTCCTCTGATTCACTAATTTTATTGAAGTTATTGGCGGGTTTATTGGATTTGGAAATATATCTAGCTTAGGGAAAATTCTCTGCACAGCAAAAATTCCTTTTCCTTCTTCATAATCGAACTTTCTCTTGGTGACGATTAATGCGGGTCTATATATGCTCATAGAATGAATCTAGTTATCACTTAGCAAAATGGATCAATTCTTCACTTGAACATATATGTATTGTGCGTGGTCCCATGTCATGTGATAGTGGGATTACCACATTAATTGATAAGAGTTGTCTCTTTGAAATAAAATTTATCTATCACTATAGAAGATAGTAGAGAAAACAAAAGAGAGAAAAGAAAAATGAGAAAAAAAAAAAAGGAGAAAAACAATTTGATCAAAGATTGGTTATGTGGAATTTGATTGTTTTGACAAAAAACAAGATTGTCAGTGTTGTAAACTTTTCTCAAATACTTTTCTATTTAATCTTGTTGTATTTCAAGAATAGATTATTCTTGATGATATATATGTTGCAGCCTTTAGTTAAATCTAAGAAAGAATAATTAGGAATCAATTTTTTGTTAATAGTGAAAGTTTTTAGGTGAACTACGGTCCTGTAAATTTTTTCATATCGAGTTTTTCACGTAAAACTCTTAGTATTTATTTGTGTGATTGTTGTATTATATTTGTTAATTATTTGATTCTAATTTTAATTGTATACAGAGAAAAAAAAATTAAAACTTGTGAATTGTGAATTGATCTGGATAGATTGATATCCGATTATTTGTTCTTAGTTTTCTCAACAATAAGGGCCACTAATTTATAACAAAAATATCTAGATGCCATTCTTTCTGATATAATTGACAACAATTTACATGATTCCTTTGTTTCAAATCAACGTTGGATCGATTTTTCTTTTCTTTTTGTGGTTGATTTTCTCTCAATGTCCTTGTCTTGACACGAACATACTGATGAACAAAGAAAAATACGTTCCCTTATATAAAAGGCTTAATAAGGATTCATATACATCATGCATTGCAGCTTTCAAAACTAATAATATAATATTTAGACTTGATTTTCTCTCAAGATGTCTGAGGCAGCTGATCCTGCAGAAGTGGAACACAATAAGGTTGGATATATTTATTAGCTATTTTAGTACCAGTTTCCTGCACGACTGTTTGTTCGTTGTAGTCCCAATTTTAGATAGATAGATAGATAGATAAAATCTGTAAACAAACATGGGTTTTAGTTTGATATTAGAAGGTTTCTGAGAACGTCCATCTATCTTTTATGAGTAAAAATGAGGTTGTTAATGGTGAGCTGAAATTATTTTTATGCTTACAGGATGAAGGTAGGTGGAGGTTTAAACCAAGGGGATTGCACATCACATGGAGTAATAATTCAAGTTATTGGAAGATGCCTCAGAAAGGGTACAGAGAATTATCCCTTTGATCAAGTTATATCGTTTCAATGCTTCAAGTATTGTAAATAATCAAATGATATAGACAGAAACTATCATAAAATAATAATTTTCTGACATAGAGCTCATTGGATGCTTAAGTTCTACACATAAATTTCAGGACGGATGGTCCTGCAGAGTTGCTGGCGGTATGCTGGCTTGAAATAGACGGTTCAACTTCGGAACCCCTATCCAAAGGGAAGAGGTATGCACTGAGCTTCAAAATATCTATGACAAAACAAGATCCTGTTTGGAAGGAAGGTCCTGTTTTCATGCTAGCTAAGGTAGGGAAGAAAGGGATTGCCAAATGGGAAAAAATCAATTTAGGAGATATGAGAATCGGCAACATAATCGAAATTCCTTATGGGAAGCTTCGGTTTGAAGTTCCGAAAAAGGCTGAAGATACCAGGCTCTATTTCGGACTCTACGAATTGTGGACTGGAAAATGGAAGGAAGGTTTACAAATTCATGAGGCTGTAGTTGAGGAAATGCCAGATTGAGCTTCCGTTCAAATTAATCACTCTTGTACTATCCTTGATGAGTTATGGATAAATGTAACCTCAGTTAGTTTTTTTTCTTTTTTTCCTGTGAAATATTTTATAAATCCAAGGAAAAATCTGTAGCACCGGAATAAAATTCTGCTATTATAATATGGAAGAGTCTGTAGTCCTAAGTTTTCAGGAGTTTACGAGCGAAGTCGAGTGGACTTTGGTTTACATTACGGGGATGACTCACGTCCCTCATCTACAAAACCCTGACACGCCTATCTCTAAATACTTTGAATCTGTGACCTGTATCTGGAAGTCCAGGATTTAATCAAAAGTGGCAGTCCTCTTGAGAGTATTTGCTATTTTCTAAACCATTCTCACTTCATTTCGAAAGTTTAGCTAGAGAGGGTCCTAAAGGAATAGTTTTGTGAATCTGCAGATTCTGAATTGTGGTGAGTTTAGCTAATGATGGTCCTGAAGAGCTGCTACTGGTGTCTTGGTTTGAAGTAACAGATCATGTAACGAAAGGGAAGAGGTTTGAAGTTAGTAATTAACTTCAAGTTGTCCATGAAAAACAACGCATTTTCTTGGACTGATACTCCTGTTTTGATGATGGCTAGGATAGGAAGAGGGGAAGATGTTCATGTTTAAAAGTAAACCAATAATTAATGGCTAGGAGAGGAGCCGAAGGAAATTCCTTCTTAGAAGAATCAGAAAGAGTTCAAAATTATAAATCCAAATTAAGCTATATACGTTTTGGCTTTTAATTAGAAAAGTGTGGATAAACTGGCAAATTGGAAGGGTGGTCTGCTGATTCATGAAGCCATATAGTTCAGGAAGCAACAGTTCTACAGGACATGAATTTATTAATGCTAGGTATAACAGCTAGTTCTTAATTTTGCTTACCAAGATGGGAAAAATTGCTTGATTTAATGTGTCATATAGCTCGTTTTTCTGTAAATCGAATATTATTTAATCTTAATCTGGGATTTGAAAGAAAATAATCTTGTTTAAACACCATACATGATTAAAATTTTGGACATAAATGATGCATGAGCTTTCTGGCAATATAAATATTTTCTTTATTATTTTTATTTCTTCTTGTTCACTTTGGAAACTTTATTTTTTCATTTTCATTATTATTAAGCTTTTCATGTTTTTCTATTTAAAATGAATATTTTTATTTTATTTTCCATTTCAGTAATATTAGGTTTTTTTAGTTTTCCAATTTAAAGAAGATAGTTTTTCTATTTTATTTTATTTTATTTATTTAATATTATTAGAGTTTTCTAGTTTTTTCTTTCTACTTAAAGGATTGTATTAATAGCTTTTTGTCAAGTAGATTTTGATGAATAAAATTAAATATTTTCTTAGTTATTTTTATTATTCATATTTAGTTTAGAAATTTTATTTTTTTTTCTATTTAGTATCATTAGGTTTTTCTAGTTTTTTTTTAAAAAACAATTTTTATTAAACAGGGTTTTTTAGTGTTTTAATATAAAAGGTTGTAATAGTTTTTTTTTTTTGTCATGTTATTGATTTTTTTGATAGTTTTGACTTATCACAGATCATGGATTTTCTGATATCTCTCTAAATTGAGGTGTTCAGAGGCGGAGACGCTGTAAGAGAACCCTTTGGTTAGATTCTCTACCGATGAGAAGCAGCCAACCACGCAAGCAGAGTGCAAAAGCATTTTGGCATCAAATTGTCGGAATCCATTCTTTTACTTTCCTTTTTCTGATAGCAATCACCGGAAGTGATTCAGAACATGAAAACATCGGCGGACTATAATTTTGATTTCTCATAGTTTCACAACGCCACGCAGAAATGCCGAATTAATTTGCTCATAGTTTCGGCCGTCCATTGAATTCAACTTGAAAAGGCTGGGAATAGTGGGCATTATTCGGATTCAAAGAAAGTATCCTTATCAAGATAAGGTTAAATACTGTACTGCAGGATTCCTATTCAACTCTTTCCTACGCAAAATTTGCTCAATTTTTTATTTTTATATTCTGCGTGAAACATCACATGAATAAAAAAAAATGTGGTTTTCAACCTTTAAGGTTAAAAATAGAGAGGAAATTCTAATTTCAACCTTTAAGGTTTATATAGAGTTTAAAACAGATCTAACCAAAAAAAATCCAAATCTAAATAGAAAATAATTAAAATCTAAAATTAACAAGAAAAAATAATTAAAATAACAAAAATAACTTAATTTGAGAGTCTTCCAGTCCAGACCTTGACCGATTACACCGAATCAACCCTTCTATAGAATTTTGTTTATAAAATCATATATGCTTACAACGAATCAATCCTTTTCATAAATGTATCGTGCAACACGTTCACATCATATATGTTTCAATTTCGTGGTTAGGAAACTGGAAAATTATGTTCGCACAACTCTTGCTGCCAAGCGAATTGATTCTTTTCTTGATCATACATGGATCATCAAGCCACCAAAGAAAAGAAAAGGTTAGGATCCACTCGTTCTGATAAAGTAGAGCACATTTACTTGATCCTTTTTCCTTCCTTCTTTATTTTCCTTTGTATGGTTGAGTATCTTTTTGATGTTCATTGCTTGGAAGCTGACATAATCAATGAACGCTTCTTTGGGGCTGCATAAAAAGGCTGTGTGTGGATCCACAAATATATCATCTTTTTCTCTCCAAACTAACACTAGAATTTATTTGCTCTCAAGATGTCTTCTTCAAATAAACCACATTACGATTCCGATGATACCAAAGTGGTATATGATGAGGTCAGATTGCTATTATCTTTCATCAGTGTTTGTTTATAGATTAGGCCTCCGAATTATAATCCTTCAACTGAACATTTTGTTAACCAGCTTGCTAAATTCAAACCAAAACGATAATGGAAACCGAGTTTTTCAAGCATAGTATTTTGAATGTTAAACGTTATACAAGGCAACTGTATCTAAGGCTATCACATTATTTCAAGTTGAAAGTTTTTTTCTTTATGAGAATTCCTCTTCGTGTTTACAGGGAAACAACCGCTGGACGTTTAAGCCGAGGGGGTTAAGCATCATATGGGGAAAAGACAGACGCTACTGGAACTTGCCTGATCAGTCAAGGTAAGAATCCATGCTCTCTATATTTAGTTTTAGCAGGAAAGGAAACTTGGTTTTGCACCATGTGATGTGCAAACTTTAAACTTTGAGCTTCAATATCGCAGCTCGGATGAAACACCAGCAGAGCTAGTGCAAGTGTGTTGGCTTGAAGTAACGGGTACAACAAACAAATCCTTAAAAGAAGGGAAGTACAAAATTAAATTCGAAGTATCGAAGAAAACAGATGCATTTGGTTGGGATGGTTGTCCTGTTTTTATGATGGCCAAGTTAGGGAAGAAGGGAAGGTACAGATGGAGCAAAATCGACCTATCAAAAGTAGGCACAGACAAGTCACCAATTACCTCGGAATTTGTCATTGAAGTTAGTAAAGGAACGGAGGATAACAAGCTTTATTTTGGTTTGTATGAAGTGTGGACAGGCAAATGGAAGGGAGGTTTGCAAATTCACCAGGCCATAGTTGAAGAAGTGAAACCTTGAGATTTGGTTCAAACCAACCAGTGTCTTACAATCCTATTTTAGATGTAACGCAATAATGAGACCTGTCTAGTTTTACCAAACTTGTCTGTTGTGTAGTGTCCTTAAGATTTATGTGCTGCTGTTCTAACATCAAATAATTGACTGCCTCGTGTACTTCTTTTATCTTCAACTAAACTTACTTTGATGATTGCTTTCTAGCTATATGATGAGAATTGTTTCTCTTTTCTTTTCTTTTCACTTTTTGGCAAGTTACAAAACACCAAGAAGGCCAAAGGCCAAACAAGGTGAAAGAAAAACATGCACAAATTCTGCCAAATTTGCAGAACTGGCTAAAAAATAATGATAAAAAATGCACCTGGAAAATCATATAAAAAGAAATAGACCTATCAAGATGCAAGAGGGAAGCTTAAGAGTGTCCTAATGAGAAAAAATATCACAGCTTAAGGATATTTCCTGTTAATAGAATTGCTATCATCTCTATTATGTAAAATATCGCCAGCAGGTGCTCAGGTTTGGTCATTTTTTCTTTTTTCTGTTAATAGAATTTCTCCTTTAAGGCTACACTCATTTGTTTTTAAGGTTGTAGCTTAAGAAACACTTGATCTTCAACTTAGATTTCCCTTTTAGTCCTGCTTTTATTTGTAATCTATTTCATCCTGTGTTTAGCAGCCTCTAACTGCTTCTTCAGAACTTGACCCATATTTGTTCTTTTCTTTTAACTTGTGATCCACATTTGGTGTTAGGTCATTCAAGCATTCAAACACACATCAATTTACATGGTTCGGCAACTTGCCTACTCCACGGAGCTACTGGTTTGTATTAATCACTCAAAGAAACAATACAAACAACAAAACAAGGAAAAGGAGAAAAACTTCTCTACTCAACTCTACACACTCAAACTCTCTAATCTCTCTTCACATTTTTCTCTCTGTGTTTTCACTCTACAAAACACAACACGAGCTCAGCTCATATATAGATAGTGAAGTGCATAAATCATGCCATGATTTATGCCCACTGTTTGCCTCCACTTTATGTTTAGTGGAGATTAGGTATTCCCATTAAATTCATAGTGGAGGTGGGGCATTGTTTATCTCCATAATGCTAACAATCTCCCACTTGGAGATAAACAATGAAATTATCTTTTATCCTTGAAGGCCAATTGAAGTTTTACACAACTTCAATTTATCAAGTGTAACTCCTTTGGTTAACATGTCAGCTGGATTCTTGCTTCCACAGACCTTTTCTAGCATTAGTTGCTCATTGTCTAGCAATTGTTGGATGAAGTGATATTTGATCTGAATATGCTTAGTCCTGGAGTGAAATGCTGGATTCTTGGCAAGGAAGATTGCACTCTAACTGTCGCTATACAAAGTACCATTTCCATTCATTTTGCCTAATTCTTTTAGGAAACTCTATAGCCATATTATCTCTTTTGCAGATTCTGAGACTGCAACATATTTAGCTTCTGTCATTGAAAGAGCGACTATCTTTTGCAAGGTAGAACTCCAAGAAACAGTAGTGCCTCCTAGAGTGTATATATATCCTATAGTACTCTTTCTCCTATCAACATCTCCTACTAGATCAGCATCTACAAAACCTTCAAGTTTCAAACCACCAGCTGTGAAAGTAAGACTTGTCTCCGATGAACCTTTTAAGTACCTCATGATCCATTTAACTGCCTCTCAATGCTACTTTTCAAGATTGCTCATATATCGGCTTACAACTCCCACTGCATGAGCAATGTCTAGTCTAGTACAGACCATAGCATACATCAAAGAGCCAATAGCTAAAGCGTATGGAATCTTATCCATGTATCCACATTCTAACTCAGTTTTTGGTGGCTGGTCTCTACTGAGCTTGAAATGATTCCCTAGAGGTATACTTACTGGTTTAGCATTATCCATACTAAACCTGCTGAGAACCTTTTTGACTACTCTGTCTGTGAAAGCTTTAGTATGCCTTTGTCTTTGTCTCTGATGATTCCCATGCCAAGTATTTGTTTAGCAGCTTTAAGATCCTTCATTTCAAACTATTTTGACAACTGTTGCTTTAGCTTTTCAATCTCTTTCATGTTGGATCCTACAATCAACATATCATCCACATACAACAGTAGAATGATATAGGAGTTGTCAAAATATTTGACATAGCAACAATGATCAGCCTGACATTTTGTGTATCCCGAACTATACATGAAGTTGTCAAACTTCTTGTACCATTGTCTTGGAGCTTGCTTCAAACCATATAAGTTCTTCTTTAGCTTGCAAACTTGATTCTCTTTTCCTTATATTGCAAACCCCTTTGGTTATTGCATATAAATATCTTCCTCCAATTCACCATGAAGAAATGTTGTTTTTACATTTAATTGTTCAAGATGTAAATTTTCTGCAGCTACTATCTCCAGAACAACTCTCATTGTTGTAAGCTTCACAACTGGAGAAAATATCTTAGAGTAGTCAATCCCTTTCTTTTGCTGAAACCCTTTTACAACAAGTCTTGCCTTAAACCGTTTGCTTCTGTCATGCTCATTCTTTATTCTGTAAACCCATTTGTTTTGCAAAGCCTTCTTTCCTTCAGACAGTGTAGTTAGCTCCCAAGTCTTGTTCTTCAACAATGACTCCATCTCGTCCTTCATGGCTAACTCCCACTTGCTCAAGTTTTCATTTTGTAAGGATACTTCATAAGTTAATGGTTCACCACCATCTATCAGCAAAATATAATTCAGTAGAAGTGTGAACTATTGTGGAGGCTTTATAGTCCTTGAAGACCTGCGAATAGCTGGTTCACTTGGCTCTGCATTTTCTTGTGTAGTAGTAGTGGGTATAGATGTGCTTGAATTTTCTAGTAAGGACTCTTGAGTGGTAACATCGAAAAGCCCTTCTAATCTTATGAATTCATATTTTTGTGGACTCGTATCTGAATCAGCCATCTCTGTTTCTGTACGTGATCTGTCTTTGTACAAAACTCTCGTTGAAGATAACATTCATGCTTCTGATAATCTTTCTGTTTTGATCATCCCAAAACCAAAATCCAAATTTTTCATCTCCATAACCAATAAAGAAACATTTCTTTAATTTGGCATCCAGCTTGTTGCGACTATTAGAATCTACATGTACATAGGAAACACACCCAAAGACCTTTAAATGAGAAAGTTGTACTTCTTTTCCTCTCCATACTTCCTCGGGCAGTCTGAACTCCAAAGGAACTTATGGTCCACAATTGATCAAGTAAACTGCAGTATGAACTACATCAGCCCAAAATGTTTGAGGTAACCCAGAATGCAACCTCATACTTCTAGCTCGTTCATTGATGGTCATGTTCATTCGCTCAGCAATGCTATTCTGTTGTGGTGTGCCTGGAACTGTCTTTTTCATTTTGATACCGTTGACAGCGCAATACTCCTTGAAACCTTCATCAATGTATTCTCTCCCATTATCAGATCGTAAGCATTTCAACTTCAAACCTGATTCAGTCTCAACCATAGCCTTCCATTTCTTGAATGTTTCAAACACATCATATTTATTTTTCAAAAAGTAGACTCATACCTTCCTGTTGAAGTCATCAATAAAAGTCACATAATACCGAGAACCTCCAAGAGATGCTACTGGAGCTGGTCCCCATAAATCTGTGTGCACCAGTTCTAGCTTTCTTGGTCTTAAGGTCCTACCAACCTTTAAAAAACTAAGCTTCTTCTGTTTTCCGAGAATACAACTTTCACAAATGTCCATATCAACATTTTTTAACTCTGGCAGCTTTCCCTTTGACTGAAGTATCTTCATCCCCTTTTGACTCATATGATCGAGTCTATAATGCCATAGTTGTGCCTGATTTTCTACTTCAGTAGAGGCAATTATATCTGCTAAACTTGTGGTCGGTTTTCTTTCCATGAGCCAAAACCATTGCTCCCTTTGATACCTTCCATATTCCTCTAGAAAAAAGGATTAAATGACCACTATCATCAAGTTGTCCGACCGAGATCAGCTTCTTCTTTAGTCTAGGAACATGCCTTACATTTTGCAAGTTCCATATAGGTCCATTCATTGTCTTGATTTGCACATCTCTTATACCTACAATATCCAATGGTTGTCCATCGGCCAAATAGACTACACCGTGATCTCCAGTAATATAGTTTTGCATCATTTCATAGTGTGGTGTACAGTGAAATGAAGCACCAAAATCAAGAACCCAATCATCAATAGGACTATGTATAGCAAGAATTAAAGCATCTTGTACCTCGTTTGTAGTGGCGTTTGCAGAATCAGCTTCAGGTTTTTTTTTGTTTTGTGCAACTCCTCATGAAATGACCAAGTTTGCCACAATTCCAACATTCAACCTGCTTTTTGGGTCTAAACTTGCTTTTACTTCTATATCTGGATTTTGATCTGCCTCTGGATAAGCCTTTGTCCTGTCTCCTTCCTCGAGTGTTGATGTTGAGAGCTGAACCTGAACTTGAGCTTTCATCCGAGTCTTTCCTTCACACTTCTTCAGCTAAAATAAGGTCTCGGATGTCATCATATTTTACTTTGGATCTTCCGGCTGAGTTGCTTATGGTTGTTCTCATACCTTGCCAACTACTTGGAAGTAAAGCTAGCAAAATGAGTGCACGGATCTCATTATCAAACTCAATCTCAATAGATGATAATTGATTTATGATGGTGTTGAAATTATTGAGATGCTGTATAACAGAGGTGCTTTATGTCATCTTCAGGTTGAACAGCTTCTTCATCAAGTGCACTTTGTTATTTGTTGAGGGCTTCTCATACATTCCAAACAAGGCTTCCATCAATCTTGCTGTGGATTTCTCTTTTGTAACATTATGAGCAACTCTTCTTGACAAAGATAGCCGGATAATGCCCAAAACTTGTCTATCAAGAATTTGTCAATCTTCTTCTGACATGTTTTCTGGTTTGCTCCCCAATAGAGGAAGATGAAGTTTCTTCCCATATAGATAGTCTTCAATTTGTATTTTCCAATATCCAAAATCTATTCCATTAAATTTTTTAATTCCTGCAGCCTTTATTTCATCTGCCATTTTTAATATTTCTCGGATTCGAATATGCAAAATCCAACCTTACAAATGTGTCCAGAATGGCCAAAAATATTGGAAACGACATTGAGATCACCCAAATCGGACTTCAGATGGCTCAGATTTTATCAATCAAAATTTTGGATCATTGGACGCTACAGATGAAGCCATGTGTCAGGAGGAATAGTCCCTACGCCACACTGGATCAAAACCCAGAATGCTAACATGGATATGCTTACGTGTCTGACATGTAAGATAGGTAGGCCCATAAGTGTGATGTGGCAGAGCCACGTGGATCTCGGGCTGACGTGGCGAGGATGACGTGTCATGCGAGATGGTGGGTGGCATGGTAGGTGACGTGGCTGCTGACTGTGCGGATCTGCGTGCATGGCTATTGACGTGTCAGGTCAACTCGGTTCATATTGCAGGAAATCGGGCGAGGAAGACGCGTGAGGCGCGTCGGTGCACGTGGGCAGTGTAGTCGGCTTTTTATTGAGTTTTCACCAGTGGATTCCTCTCGTCTTCCTCTTCACGATGGTATTTTCAAAAACACATTTTGAGAACTTTGATTTTTAAGTTTGGATCAAACACCCTCTTTTTCAAGAACAAGCTCTAATACCAGTTGTTAGGCTATTCAAACACACATCAATTTACGTGGTTTAGCAACTTGCCTACTTCATGGAGTTATTGGTTTGTATTAATCACTCCAAGAAACAATACAAACAACAAAACAAGAAGGAGGAGAAAAACTTCTCTACTCAACTCTACACACTCAAACTCTCTTATCTCTCTTCATGTTTTTTTCTCTGTGTTTTCACTCTACAGAACACAACACGAGTTGAGCTCATATATATATAGTGAAGGGCATAAATCATGCCATGATTTATGCCCACCATTTACCTTCACTTTGTGTTTAGTGGAGATTACTTTGTGTTTAGTGGAGATTAGGTATTCCCATTAAACTCATAGTAGAGGTGGGGCATTGTTTGTCTCCGTAATGCTAACATTTGGTATATTAGTTTTTTCTTATGTAACCAGTTCTCTAGCTGGAGGAAAATACCCATATAATGCTTAGAAGGGAATCGTCTTTATTGATGAATGATAATTCGAATTGTACCACCATTGTGCTAAAGACAACCGATGGTGCCACTAGGGATTATGCAGTCATATATCCAAGGTAGGTTTCCAAGCATTGATTAACTCGTCCAGACCACCCATCAATTTGTGGATGGCAGGAAGGGCTCATAAGCATTTTAACCCCCAATAATCTGAGTAATTCCTTCCAGAACAGACTGGTAAAAATCTTGTCCCTGTCAGTGACTATAGAAGCTAGAAGAGACCATGAAACTTATAAAAATGATCCGGGAATATCCAAGAATCCTCTCAATTCTTTTACAGACTTAGGTACTAGCCACTCCTTGATAATTGTTGTCTTTTATGGGTCAGTAGCAACTCCTTCAGGTGAAATGATGTGTCCTAGATATTCTACTTTTTGTTCACAAAAAAAGCATTTAGACTTGCTTCACAAACAATTGATTACTCCCGAGTGTCACTAGCATATTTCTTAGATGACTAAGGTGCAGCTCAAATGTTGAACTATCCACTAAGATATCATCAAAGAAAACTAATGCAAATCTCGTTATAAAAGGCTCCAGAATATGATTCATCAAAGCTTGAAAAGTTGTAGGGGCATTAGTCAAGCCAGAAGGCATTACTCTAAATTCATAATACCTATAGTGAGTCCTGAATGTCTTTTTTTCTATGTTACTATCATGGATTCTCACTTGATGGTATTCAGACCTCAAGTCCAATTTTGAGAACTGTGAACCACGTAGTTCATCCAACAGTTCATCGATCAAAGGAATTATAAATTTTTTTATGGTTAGATCATCGAGTTGCCTGTAGTCTATATAAAATCTCGAAGTGTTGTCTTTCTTCTTTACTGACAAAATCGGTGAAGCTAAAGCTAGGTTGTGTAACTCCATTCTGCAAAATTTCTTTTACCATATTTTCAATTTTTTCCTTATGTAAGAAAAACTCCTATAAGGCCTTATATTTACTGGCTTAGCAACTGGAATGAGAGGGATTCTGTGGTCTATAGATCTCTTTGATGGTAAGTGTTTAGTTTCTTTGAACACTGCCTGGTATTCCTTTAGTATAGCCTCTACTTCAACCACTGTTATTCTCTGGTTCCTCTCTTCTTGAACTTCTAAGGAAAAGAACTGACCAATGTAACCATAAACATCCTCCTTAAAACTCTTATGTATCTTTATAATCGATACCATTTATAAACTGGCATCCTTTACAATTCCTTTTAACTAGATCATCCTTCCATCCTTCTTAAAAGACAGTTTCATCTTGTAAAAGTCAAATAATATTGGTGAGAATATCCTTAAGCAATCAACTCCCAATACTATATCACACCTTCTCAACTTTAATAACCTCAAATTAGCTTGAAATTCATGCCCCTATATGAACCACTTGAATTTAGGTCATAGGCATCGCATTTCATAACGTTACCGTTAGCCACTATGACTGCCAGAACTGTGGTTTTAACAATGACAGCTTTGAGTCCTTTAATCACCTTCTCATATATGAAACTATGAGTGCTTCCACTATCAATTAAGATGATCAAATCCCTTCCCTGACAACGCCCTCTAATCTGAATGGTGTTATAGGCATAACAATCAGAAAAGGCATTCAGTGACATCCCATACTCTTCATTTCTGGTATCTTTCATTACATCCACTCCATCCTCTTCTTCTGCTTCTAAGAATTCCTCCTTTTCATCCCCCCTTCCCTCAATCAAATGAATCCCTTTAACACTACATTTATGTTCAGGTACAAATTTATCACCATATTTAGAGAATAATTCAAGTTTCCTTCTCTGTTTATAAATTGTATTTCTAGATCTTTACACTTCTGTTTAATTGTGCATGAAGTGTGTTATGTTAGGTTCTATGTATAGGAAGAGGAGCGACTAAAGTACACAGTGGGGGTGAAAATTGTAAGACTTAAGGACAGGATCCAAAGACCATCTTCAGATTAGCTGTGGAAAACTCTAATTTTCTTACTGCAAGTAATTCAGAATCACGAGTTTCACAAGAAACAACTTTAAATGGCGTGTGATTTAGGAAAGGATTTTGTTCCCTCACCTTTAACTATGCCATTGTACTGTGTCCTAACTTTACACTGTAATCCTATCCATACATGTTCATATCTTGCACAGCACTACTGAATCAAGAAATTACTTTCCTTGTTCCATTTGTATTCGTCCTCGTACATATTCCGATTTCTTGAAGCAATTCTTCAACTTTCTTAGTTGCAAATTCTAGGCTAAACCATTATTTGTCAGACTAATAAATCCTTGACTTGTTCAAAAGAAGCTTAATTAATGAATGGAAGCTAGATAACAAAAGGGTAGGCAGAAAAGCAAAAGGGAAAAAGAAGCTGAGAGAGCTGAGACTCAAGTAAAGGTATGGGCATTAGATGTTTTTCTTCCTCGTCACCACAGTTAAATCCGATGTTAGCTTTACGCAACTTGAGGGTAATAAGAATTCTGTTAGCTAGAATGCTATGCTTATATATCTAGTTTCTTTTTAGTTTTGCAGTGCGTAGAACTTTGAACTACGATATGGATTACGACCAAAGATCAGAGGCTCTCTCTGGCCCTCACTGGAAGGGTGTAAGTGAATTTTTCCTCTTTTTGTTTACATTTTCATACACTTGTTCATCTCTGGTTACTCATATCCGTCGTAACATGCTCAAGTCATAGTGTAGGAACTTATGCTGGAAAATGCAGAGAACTATTTTAAGATGATATATTAAGATTGAGTCTGGCAGTGTCTTATTTCATTTTCAGAATAAAGTTTCTGATTCTCCTAAGTGATGGCTAAAGCTTTAAGTAGTCTTAATTGCCATCCATGAAAAAGGGAGGGAAAGGTGCTATGATAGAATAAATTGATCTTATTCTCAGAAAACGACATTCAATTTGTTATCGCTAACAGTAACCATGTAGATAATTAATCTCTTTTATTTTATCATGAATTATGTTTTTTTAATAAAATCAATGTTTAATCTATAGGATGGCTATTCAATATCGTCAGATAAAGCATGTCCTGCAACATGCAGAGTGCCAGCCAAGGCTCTAAATATTATATGGGGCAATGATCCCCGGTTTTGGCAATGGATCAAACTTTCAGAATTGGAAACAAGGTAAGCCAATCTAAATTAGCATTTAATCATGTAGATATCGTAATCTTTCTTTTTCGAGTGATAGCAGCAGCTATACTTCATTTTATAATGTGTTTGAATTTTTCAGGTCAGTTGGTTTCGACGAAGGTGCAAGGCTCCTTCAAGTTAACTGGATTGAGGTCACTGGGAAATTACCCACAGCTATGTTCAATGTTGCTTCAACTACAAAATACGAAGTATATTATGTCATGAAATTTCAGGTTGATGCATTTGGTTGGCATTCTGTTCCAATCAAGTTCAAGGTAAGACTCAATGGACAAGAGACGGTGAAAAACTTTGTACTCGAGTCTTACAAGGAGAAACATGATGTGTGGCATGAGATCTGCGGTGGCGAATTTACAGTTTCAAAGAATGCAGCTGGAGTTGTAGAATTTGGTATGTTTGAAGTTAAAAGTGAGTGGTGGAAGGGTAGCGTGGTTCTTGCAGGTATCAAGATTAGGCCAAAAGAAGGTTAAAAGGTGGGGAATGTTTTTTTTTTTTTTTGTAAGAGTTCTAAATCTGGAAATTTAGGCTAATTTTATGTTTTTCTTTTATTTTCTTTTTGATGAGCTGTGTTGTTTGACAACAAACAATAAAATAAAAATGACTCTTATCGGTATCAAGTCCTGTGATAAGGGTTTGGCAGGCAGAACAAGCTCCATATTGCATAAAAGTAATCCAGGATTCTCTTTTTATATTCTCAAAAGTCCGGAAACCAATTTGCATTCAGGGAATATAACTTTAATGGATGCTTTGTCACAGAATAAGTACTTTTTCTTTTATATTGTATGCAATATGTAACTTTTTACTTTCTTTGATTGATGAATGTTGATGAAAACAACCTCTGCATCATCAACAAGTTGTAATCTCACACACTTAACAGCTTTCGTTGTAGTCTGAGAGTGTGTTTGTGCGAGTGGGTGTTTAGCACGCAGATAAGCAATACATATTCTGTCTAATCCAAAGCACTTTTGAATGCATGGACGCGAATGGTTTGCCTAAGACATTATTGGAGAGGAACCTGAATCTCATATGAGCGAAAACTAGCCCAAAAAATACCTTGACCGTTGAAAAAAATACATATTCTCTAGCCCACAAGGCATCTTATTTAATTTGATGGATGATGAATTTTTAGACCACTTGCAACTCAATACATCAAAAACTCAACACACTTTCAAGTGATTGCAGCCTAGAGACTTGATTAATGATCCAACAGTGGAAGGCTAGATCAAGAGCCAACACATTTTCACAGAGTAATTTATGCACCATGCTCTAAAGACAGTAGTTTGTTAGAAAGTGATGGTTATGAAGACAAGGGGGGAGGGTGGTCACTTGAACCAAAAGAGAAAGGAAAGTCTCATTTCCATCACCTTAATTATATCATTGTTTTTGTCTGTCTATCATTGACAAAAAAAAAAAAAAAAACCCGAGAGTAGTTCCTGTGCTGTGCCTAGTCTGATATGCATAATGCATTTACCTAGTAATCTTCAAAGTTCATGTCAACTTTATTTCCAGGGGAGTTCTTTTTTCCCAAGTCCTAACCATAAGTTCTCTTATGAAAGTGATGTTTCTGTGGATGTGACGGTGCTACTAGATGCCTTGCTGGCTGGTAATATATAAGAAATTCAACTGCAGAATGCTCTCCCGAGATATTTTGTATGAGGCTGTGCTTGTGGTAGAGTTGAAAGACCCATATTATGGATGGGGAGTTCCAGTGAATGTCTCACTAGTTATCCCAAATGGAAACAAGCAAGAACCTAAAGAAGAGTTGCAGACAAAGGCCAGAGAGCAATCAGTAGACGTGCCAGGTAGCGAGTCCATAACTTCACCCGAAAATGTTGAGGAGCTACAAATCGGTATGCATGAATATGAAGGCGGAGAATGGACGAGGTGCCTTGTTATCAAATGGATTGTCATTCGACCACAGACGTGAGCTTGCACTAGAATGATACAACATTTACTATCCAGTCAGAAATGAACTAAAAAATAATCTATGATGTCCTTCGAATATGCAGAGGATAGCCAATTTAATAATCAAACAGGCATTCACGAGCATGTGGATCCCTAATTTCTGCGGAAAATACTGGATTTTGATGCCAGTTGATGAATGAAGATAAATTTGTTCTACTTATCAAATAAGTTTGTTTTACAATTTGAAAAATAATTCAAGGCCAGTGAAAGCTTACATCATCGTTAACTTCACGACCTGTAAAGTTAATCAAGATATACGTAAGCTAGCTGGCCGAGATACCCACATTAAAAAAAAAAAAAAATTGCATTAACATTTCGCATGTTGCATTTTGGCCCACGCAAAAATGATCATCTAAACACTAAATTGCTTCTTTCACAGCTCAATTGTAAAGATCATGACCATGGAAGAGATTGCATAAAACTAATTCTCTTCTTTTATTTTTGAAGAATGAACATGGTGATAAGGAAGAATCGATGGCACTGATCAGGTAACATGAAAAGGAGCTGGTACAATTAAAAGTGCAAAACAGTCTTATAAATGAAGATGGAAGCCTGTATTATAAGATAAATTCAAAAAAATAAAAAACAAGTTAGTGCACGATATGCAACACCTGCTTGCTGCAGCAAAGCTCCGAATGAGAATAAATGCTAGGTCAATTCAAAGATCAGTGCGGTAATTTTCTGGCTTATACCACAATGAGAAATCAATTACTTCGCTTTTCAGTTTCTCAGTGGCAGGTGCAATCCTCTCCAAAAGCTGCATTATAAAGACTATCAAATCTATCATCTGGTTCAAACAAGATCACAAAGCACACTAAAGAATTAGGCACACAATGTGAAATCATGAAACAACCAAAGAGTCAAGGTTCACATAGCGTCATTTACAGTTAAATATAGATTATTTGATTTATTTATTTTAGAGTGAAGTGGATTTTGACTCCCATCCATCAGGGAATTTGGAGCGATGTTTTCCTTTCAACAAAAGCAACTTGCTCTAGCAATTTCCTTCTCATCTTTTCTGATGGAAGGAAGAACAAGCTCCCTCATAAATGGGTACTAGATATTTTCCAATTACAACACGAGGGCCCAGCAATTGGTTATTCAAAAATGTGACATTAGAAGCTATGATTATAGTTAATGCCATTGGTGAAATTTTTCATGCCAGTTGTCTATGTCTGCAATTAAAGAGTGGGGAAAACAGAGAAAGAACAAAAAGGTGTTTGATTTTTTCACAGAAAACAAGTGAAGTTTAACCTTGGCATGCAACACACCGTTAGACACCAAAACAGATCTATCAAATCCACAAAACTTTCCACCATCCATGCGATATACTGTCCCCCCAGCCTCTTCAACTATCTGCTTGAAAGGGAAAGGAAAACATTAATATTGAAATATTTAAAACTGACCCTCATTACTAACAAAATTTTGTCCATATTCAACAAATATGATTTGAAAAGGCCTGTTTATGTTAGCTGGGGAATGCTAAGGATGGTGGTTGTGATATTAGCAAGTTGAACAAGTGGCTAGTGAGAGAAATAAACATATTTCCTAGAACAGTGCCACTATATTCACTGTGGAGCTTATGGTTGAAGTCATCATGGATCCTCTGGGGACAGCAATAAGTCAATGACTCAAATGGTAAATTCAATTGATACCTACTCAATCCCTAGCAAGTATTACCTTCTCCATCTTTTTTATAGTTTGAGTAATTTCTATGTGGACACCTACGTAGGAATTCATTACACAGATTGGCAAAGAATTAGATAGTCACCAAAGCAGAAAACTAAGTCAGGAAGCCTTGTCACCATACACAACCAAAGGTAAGTTGAGTTGTTTGTCTTGTCATATGGGATATAACAGGCACCAATACGTTAATAGGTCATTATTCACTCCATTAATAAAGTCCACAATCTCAAACATAGAAATAAAGTCTAATTGCATATCAAGTAAAAGCATTTAAAAAAACAGAATTTTACCAGAACACCAGCAGCCATATCCCATGGCTTAAGACGATACTCCCAATATGCTTCTACAATCCCAAGAGCTACATGGCACATGTCAACAGCAGCAGCACCAAGCCTTTGAACACCCTATGCATTATTAGAGAGCAGAAGAAGAAATACAAAAAGCAATATGTTATGTTAAAAAAGAAAAAACAATAGCCTATCAGACAAGAAACAATTTAAGAGGATAATGGCAATACCCTGCTGACATCAGTAAACTCCTTGAATAGTTCAATGTTAGCGGCCCATGGATCATCATGTTCATATCCAAAGCCAGTCATGAGAAGAGACTGCTCAACCTAAAAAAACCAAAAGGGCAAGGAGAACCAATAGAGATGAGGTGCAATTCAAAAACCATGAACTTGTGAGTTATAATCTACCTTGCTAATAAAGTTAAAATGATCAATTTATGTCATTTGTTTACTTATGCATTTAACTTTTCCCTTTTCATTCTAGAAAAGATATGACACAACATGATAAATTTCATATGTAGATAAAATAATGCAAGTCAATTAACTCTCCATGATGAGTTTACTCTATAAGAGAGTTCAGCTCACTAGTAAGGAATGCTTAATGTTTCAGCATGTATCAATGCAGATTTAAACACACTTCTAGATGATAATTGAAGGGCACATGGTTTTTCTAATCAATATATTCATATTAGATGATTTGATAATGTGTGAAAATTAAAAATCTTGATCAATACATGATCACTTACCTGAGCAGTTGGACTTGCGTGAATTTTTTGGCCATTACAAAATGCTCCTCCACCTGTCATGATTGATGGTAGTTTCATCCATAGATGTACAAAATGACTGATGCAATTAAATAAAGAAAATTACAAGTTAACGCAAAAATTTCTTACCGGCAGTTGCAGAAAATGTGCATGTGTCCCAAGCCATAGGATCACTGACAAACTCCACCTAAAAACAAATGTTAAATTGTCAGCTTCCTTTTTTTTCAGCTGTTTAATGTCAAGTGATTTCTGTTTCCTGTGATCATGTTTTCATCTTTATTTTATGTCAAAAAAGAAATAGACCTTGTTTCGCTTCATTATCTTATAAGAAAAAATTAAGTTTGATCAGTACCACTGAAGCAGCTGCAGGATTTCCTTGAAAAAGAACTCCCACAGAAACCGCAAAGCTAGGATAACCATGAGCAAAATTTGTTGTTCCATCCACACAAATATCAAGGTTTGATAACTTCAAGTCATTTAACATGAAAAAAACAACAATGAGATCTATTCATGCGAAAGTTTTCCAATACATGTCCAGAAAAGCTGCTGATCATTATACTATTAATGATGGCATAATTGATAATTAAAACTGAATTCTAAAATGCTATAACTGTAATTTCAACACCCAGCAAAGAAAAGCTAAAGAAAAGGTGGGAGGGAACCCTTCAAAAAGAGAAAAAAAATGAGTAAAAAGCAAAACAGGAATAATGAACCAGGATTTGAAAGAGACAAACCTAGAGGATCAATGCACCATAGATAATCAGATAATGTATCTCCTATGATTCCTCCCTCCTCCCCAAGAATGAGGTGATCTCCAAAATTCCTTGTAACAACTTCTAAGATAGCAGCCTCACTCATTTTGTCTGCGCCGCGAGTAAATTTTGCCAAGTAGAGTGAAAATTGGCATGGTTTGTTCCAGAATTTGATCAGTTACGAATGTAAACCAACATATCAGGTCCTTCAGAAAATCTTTAACTGAAAAACATTTTAATGACCCATATAGAAGCAAATCTTTCCGTGAATATTTAGGAAAGAAACCCAATAGTAAATACATGCATCATTTTTATGGACTACAAATGGTAAAATGACTACACACTGAACTTTAATGGCCGATCACATGGTCATAATTCTCACTAATGAAATGGATTGCAGTTATTGATGAAAGCTTCTAACTAGATATATTTACTTGTCATTAAGAAGAAAGCCCTTTCAAGGCATCCCATTTAAAATGTATCCATTCTAGAGACATGTACGGCTTTGTGTTTGGGAGCAAAATGTTTATGTGTGCGGTTGTATGTGAGAGTTAACCATCTGTGGGGAAAGGAAAGGAGGAGAAAGATTTGTGAAAAAACACCTTCTAGCCTCTAGAGGCTAGAAGCAAATTTGAGGGCATGACTGTTAATCACTAAATACTTTTATAAGATTCAAATATTTTGATATTGAGAATACTCAGCAGATACAAGGTCAAATTGAGGTTCAAAGCTTCAATTTATCTACTTGAAGGATTTACAGCATCCAAAACACAAGAGATCCACCTTCTGATTCTTGATCACCTGACAACTCAACAGGATTAAAAAGGAATTTGAATTTAAGTAGGCAAGAAAATCAAAACATTTTTAGGGGGCATTTGATGGAAGTTTGAAGCTGGCTCAAAGATTCTTTTTTCTGTCATATATTTTAATTGGATACCATAATCAATTGCAATTGCAATACATCCAATATATTTATAACCATCTTTTAACAAGCAAACCAGAAACAATAGTGTAAAGAATTAACTTTAGTCTACAGAAAAGAGGTAGATGAATTTACTTCATAAAAACAAGTACAAATACAATTAATCCATCGAGATCACCTTGAAACATCTGATCTATCATCTAATTAAAGGTGGACAATAAACTTTGCCCCTCAAGATCATGACACTATGACTACGAATAGGAAAAAAAAATATATAGACATACATCATTAGTTGGGAAACTTTGATAAGTCCTTACTCGGTCACCAAGTCTGTAAGTCCTTTATATGTGATATTTCGAGGCTTATTAACAGCATCCATCACTACCTGGATAGATAAAAAAGAATGTCTAGGAAACTACAGGAAAACTAACATACTTGTCCACAGCCACCTCTAAATTAACAGGTACACAAAGGGCCTCTAAAGCAAAAGAACTTATGTTCAGCAAACTGCCAGCGGAGCCATAATAGTAGTCTTGGTTCAGTTTACTCATACATGATATATGTACAATAGTCAATCATTGAGCCATAGATGTTTAATATAGTCTAATACATACGAATAATAGAACAAAATAAAAAACCTTAAATTTACTCAACACATCCTTGAGAGATATAAAGCATGATGAACATATATATATATATATATAAAGAGCCTTAATTTTAGTAGAACATAACTCAGGCATTTCAGATTAATTAAAACAACAAATAATTTCAGAAGAAATAAAGTTATTATTGCTAAGAAATTGAACAAAAATACAACAAAAGCTCATAAATTTCACATTCCAATCAGCTTATAAATAAACAAATCAAGTTCGAATTAAACACAGAGAAACACCATCAAAGCGCCTCTCTGTCAAAGTTAAAAAATCCACACAAGAAAAGCTAAAAGGGGAGAAACCAAACCTCAGCACCGGTCTTAGCAGCAGTCTCAACAACTTGAATAAGCTGACTGGGAGGTATAGGCCCAGTTGATGAAGCAGCCACTTTAGGATACTTCATCTCTGATAAAGCAGCCTTTATACACACATTTCTTGCTAGTTTCATGCTCAAAAGCTGAAATCTTTGAAGCCCACATTGAGAATTCTCACTAAATCTTTGTGGAACACAAAGTTTTTGAGTGATTTAAGAGAGAAAATGATCTGGGTTTTTGGGAAAACTTAAGGGGAATGTTTGTGGAAAACACTACGGACCTGCTCATTTCAATGCCAATAATGGAGTTCATGATTTTGTGACCATTTGAAGCACAAAGTTTGGACCTTTTTGAGGTATTTGATTGTGGTAGTACTTGTGTTTGTGCCACAGGTTCTGAAGTATCTCTGAAATCCTGTTGTGTCAGTATTAACTAGGAATCTAACGTCGGATTGAGGGTTGTTAGTGATTGAGTGGTGTTTGGTTCCTGATGCGATACACGTCGTTCAATATTAATGGAGGATCAGAGATAAGGATGTAAGAATTTAATAATTTATACATTAACCACCCTTTCAATATATAAATTGCTCGAGTATATTTTCGTTGCCGTTGTCGATTCTTGTTCTCTTTTGATTATTTAATTTTTTTAAATGAAATTTTCAGTGATATAAATTGATTGTGTATTTGCATTTATTGATTTATCAAAATAAACATATTCATAATAATATATTTAAACTCAAAAATAAAAAGAAACACGATGTTAAATACTATAAAGTACATCAAAACCTCCTGCATGGAAATCTCTAATGTGATGCTGTCCAATCTTTGGGATTTTTTTATTTTAAATTTTAAAGGTTGAGCTATTTCTTAGTAGTGGGTTAATTTCTTTGAGATTTGTTTATTTATTTTTGAAGGGCTGCGCCCCTAGGTGTTATTGCAATTAAATCAGAGCAGATTAGAGAGGTGAGATGCTGATATGTTATTGCGATTTTTTAATATGTTATTGCGATTTTTTAAGTAATCTTGACACATACCATGGTTAATATATAGCTTAGAACCATCAGCCCTGTGTTGAATTTCAGGAGGTCGCAGTTCATCAGTCTACAGATTACCAAGAATTCTTACGAGCTCGAAGCTTATTCAACTAAAATGAGGTTTCCTGGCAACACAAAAATGGAGAAGAAGAAGAAGAAGAAGAAGAAGAAGAAGACTAGAAATTATGGTTGTTTCCTGGTAGCTACCCAAGATACGTCATAGCAGTGTATTTTTCCACGATGGTGCTAAAGAGACAATGAATTAGCTTGTGTGGCACCATAAATTTTAAAAAAAAAAAAAAAACCATCATGGCATATGAAAGTTGACCCCTCAACTAGTTTCAATAAAAAAAAAAGGAGAGGAAATAAAATGTTTTCACAATAAATAATTAACAATATAATAATAATATATGCAAACCCTCACGTTTTATATAATTTGTATTTTATGCTTCTTATAAACCCATCCCTAGATGAGGGCTGACAGAAGCTGTGTATGCGTCATGCCTGCTTACGTAACACTCCTGACGTATCACGATTTATTAGTCTCCAAAATAAAATATAAATTAATAAAGCTCGAGCTCATTCTTAATTCTTGTTAAAAAAAATCATGGATTTAGACGTGTCTGGATCCAATTACTCTTGGAATCGGCCTTCAGATTAAGACCAGCGTTGCCCCAGCGCCTTGCTGAAAATTGACTTTATTTCTTATTTTTAAATAACTTGGATTTCCGGATATCATTAACTCGTAATTGTAATGTCAAGTTGAAAAGAAAAATTAAAATCATAAAATGGGAAGAAAATGTAAAAGCTGAAAACCAAATGCATAGAAAGAAATAGACTACATGTGGTCGAATCTTTGAGGTTTTAAGGTGTTAGCTTACGTGGTAATTGGTAAGTGTGTATGCTTCATATATATTAACATGTTGAGTTTGACTCTGCGATATATATAACACAAACACTAAAAGATATTTTATATATATATATATATATATATAATTGTCCAAGACACCATTAAATTTCTTTTTTTTTATATAATCATCAATTTTATAATAAAAACATGGTTATTTAGGTAATATATAGCCATGAAAATAATACAAAAAGACATATTGAGATATGAAAAAGAAAAACAAACAAAACAAATTAAAACATTAATAAATCTTATATTTTTATCTAATATCAATGCAATATCAGATCTCAAATATACAAGCCGATGATTATAGGACTTCAACTAGTAAAAGAAATGGTAAAGGATCATGCTAAAGTAGGAACCAAGATTTGAAGTACCTTTTTAGAAGATAATATTATTTTGAATTGGTTATATATTCCAGATTGTGCTGAAAGATAAATGATTTCAAGTTTTTTGTTTTTTTTTTGGAAATTTTCAGTAAGACAACATTAAAATTAAATAATCTCCAACTATACACATGCTAAAATGAATATTTTTTTTATTAATCAACATTAAAAAAACTAAAATTAATGACTTAGGTTTTGTGTAAAATATCTAGATATTATAGATTGTACCTATATAGTAAATATTATATATAAAAAATATTGTAATCATACAAAGTAACTATATAGTAAATATTATATATAAAAAATATTGTAATCATACTTTTGTGAGGTAATCTCCACAATTATGTTAAGCCTTTCAATTATTCTCACATATATCAAAACTTCCCGCCATTAAAACTCTTCTCCCCCTCTCTCTACTTACAATCGGCCTCCTATCTTCCTCTCTTAAATGGACTTTACAATTGCTATTGTCTTCTTTCCCCATCCAACCGACACTACAGCCCAGCTAGCCAGCCACTTAGAAGTTATTGTTGCTGGTTCCTTCTCCCAACTGCAGTCCAAACCCTTAGTTCCTTCTCCTATGCTTCTGTCATCCCTCTCCACATCATGGGGACAACACCTCCTTCTATCTTTGTGTTGTTCAACACTTATCAAGTTATCTCATTGAAGCTTACAGTCACAAACTATCTCTATTGGTGAATGCAGATGAAACCATATCTTCTTGGACAAGGTGTTTTTCACTTTTTTGATGGCTCAGTGTTGTGTCCTTCCTCTCAGGTTTTCTGACAGTTTTGATGTTTCTTCTTTGTTAATCAACGCCACTTTTCTTTATTAGAAGCAACAAGATCAGCTTATTTTAATCACGCAACTCTCCTCTCTCTTAATGAATGTTCTGCATCTTGTTAGTAGATTATCAAAATAATTTCAAGTTATTTTGATATTAAAAATAAAATGTATAAAATAAAAAATATATATTATTTTAATATATTTTCAAGTAAAAACATATTTTAAAATATAATTTTTATTACAATCTCAAACACACTTCACTTCAAAAATATTCAAGGTTATGGATGTTAAGAAATATATTTGTCTTGTTTTTATTTATTAAGAGTAAAATAATAATTTTAATTTAGTCTATATATAATACTTTTGTATTTAGGTTAAAACAATAAACATATTAATGAGAATTCTAGCCTATTTTTTAATGTTTGTACTTTTTGTGTTAATTAATTTGAATTGCTAAAAGTGTATATGCTTCATATATATTAACATGTTGAGTTTGAATCTCAAAAAAAAAAAAAAACACAAAAAATTAATTTTTTTTATAATTTTTGAAGACACCATTAAATTTTATTTTATTTTTCGTTGTCCAAGACACCATTAACAAAGTATATGCTTAGTAAATCTTATTTTTTTATAAGTGTCCAAAACACCAAAATTTAATGTCATTTGTATTGATTAAAAAATTATATCTCGAATATGTGAACTAATGATTATAAAACTCCAGCCAATAAAAAAGACACTAAAGAATCAAGCTAAAGTAAGAATCAAGACATGCAATAGCCTTTTAGAAGATAATATTATTTCAAACTAGCCATATATTTGAGGTTGTGCAGAAAAATAAAAGATTTTATGCTCTTTTTCAAAAAAAAAAATTAGTAAGACACCATTAAAATTAATAATCTCAAACTATACATATGCCAAAATGAATTAAAAAATTTCTTTGGATTCATCAACATTAACAAAACTAAAATTAATGACTTAGGTTTTGTATAAAATATTTGAATATGTCTGTTTTAATTATTATAATTAAGATCAAGATTGGATAATATCCAATTATATACAAAATTCAATCATAAAAACAAACTTTTCTTACTTTTTCTTACCTTTTGTAGTGGCTCCATGCACGAAACACAACACAGCCACGAAAATAAAGATATCCTAAGTACAATAATTGTTAATAGGGTCGGTGTCCACACGCACTAACATCAGCAGCTTGATTGGCCAAGAATATGGGTGGTGACGCACATGGAGGATGAACAGCTTGTCATGATCGAAGGGCATTCACACATACATGATGCCGAGGTGCTGAACATGGAGGGGAAGGATGCTGCTATATAAACTGAAGAGTAGGGAGCTAAAAGATGTAGAGTATCTTCAACACTATCCATAACATACATTTTCCTAGCTAGCTAGGTATAAGTTACTTACTGTGAGGTCTAGATTTCAAATAATGAGTCAGCACAGTACCTCCCAATCTCAAGGTAAAGTTATTTTTAAATGATTAAGTTACTGGTCTTTTACATGATTAAATTATCAAGTTCATCGATTAAGGATGGGTTGCTCATGATCTTTCAGAAGCATATCCACCACCGAGCCAGCAGGCGCATCGTCCTCCTCGTCCTCCTCCACCACCACAATATTCCGATCCACCACCTGCAGCTGAAAAAAAGAGGCATAAATGGTAGTAATTCAACATTTCATAATTACTCTCCTAATTGTGGATCTAAATGAATATTGTGCGTGCACACATGAGCATGCGCGCATACATACATACACATATACATACATGTATTATACTATTATGTATATCTGATTTTTTTGTTCTTTTTTTTTTTAACACAGTTGGCGTTGTTGTGTGAATTGTTGCTGCGAGTGCCTGGTCTACAGTTGGCGTTGTTGTGTGCGTTGTTGCTGCGAGTGCCTCTCCAATATTTCTTTTTGATGAGCGTGATTCACCATTACTCAAATCACATCTCTGGGAATCCTTGTAGGAAATTGACCTAATTTGTTTGGTATCCATTTATGTAATATATTATCTTTTTCCTGTAATTTGAATCTCAACTATTTCAATTAACTAAGCAGCAACAATGGTGTTTTTCTTTCAAATTAATCTGTACTTTGTATTATTACCTGTGAATCTTATGTTATAATCATTTGTCAGTTGCGTTAAACCAATATGTATAATTAAAAATGGTATAAAGACGTTAACATTAATTCCAAGACAATATAAATGATTATCAAGGGTGTTTCAGCCTATTTTTTAAAATTATTTCTCAAAAAAAAGCAAAAAAAGAAAAAACAACAAATAATATGCTCTAAGACCTACAACTACAACCCGGAGAAGCCATGATACTGTACCCAGACCTGGACATCAACTCCAGAAAGCATCGACAATCTTCATGTGCCTAGGTGACAAAGATTGAGCAGCAAGGAAATAACAATCACAGTCTAGTCTAGGGATGATTTCTGCTCCTTCTCTGTATTTTTAAATGCTTTTCGTTTTGATGTTCTATGATTGTTATGACAGTATGAAATCATGGAATGGATGGTGGGGGCACTAATTATTTACCCTTACACCTCCTTTTATTTTGGTCGGACCCTTTTTTTCTTGGCTAGAAAGACTACAAACGATAATTCTATCATAACGAAGGAGTGAGCTGTTAGGCTGCTTTTGTTTTCTGCTAGTTTTTTTTGTTTGAAGTGAAACAAATAAAGGAAAGTGTTTGATAATAAATAAAACTAGATTCAATGAAAAATTAAGCTTGAATGAAATAATTTTTACATGTTTTTTAATAGAATTTCGTCAAAAAAATTTAAGATTTATTTATTTTTATGTTTTAAAAGTTTTTTCTTGAAAAAATTTTTAAAAAATTATTTTTTTACTTTATATAAAATTTTTCTTAAATAAAATAATTTTTACATGTTTTTTAGTATTTTAGATCATTTTGATGAGTTGATATTAAAAATAATTTAAAAAAATATTATTTTAATATATTTTTAAATAAAAATATTTTAAAAAATAACTACAATTACACTTCCAAATATAACTATAAATATTTTAAATTATTTTAAATTATTTTTTTTAAATCACAGTCACTCTAATGAAGCAAAAACACACTTCGAGTGGCATGGTCATGAGTTGCATGCGTTTTGTTTTGTGCTTTCATAATACAGATAATTACTTCCTAGTCTAGATGATGACGTTGGGAGCATGCTGTGTTTGGCTACTATGAAGTTTCATTGGGCAACATCAGGTCTGGTTTGTATGATAGAGGCAGAGTCTTTTGATTCTTCATTTTGATCTTTCAAAATGACAGAAGGAGTATTTAGTTTTGTTTATGGGTCAGGCTTTTCAAAGACTTTCTTTTATAAAAACAACGTGGGCTGCATGTTATGCTTAGGGAAGCCTGGGCTATTTCTTTTCTTAAGCCCATTTGTTTCTTTCGGACCAGGCATGTGCTGGTTTCGGTTTCAGCTAGAGAGCCCAGCCCGAGTGGATGGGCTAAGTCTTAAAAAGTCTTAAGAGCATGCCGCCTCACAAAATTTGTCATAAAAAATGCAATTTCTTATTTCTTAAAAAACACATTTCGAGAAATTTTTCAAGTTTTGTATTTCTGATTTTTGTAGTTTTTTTTAAAAAAATTAATCTTTGTTTAATTTTAATAATTTTTTAAGTTTTTGAAAGACCATCTTGCAATTAATTTTGAATTACCTATAATTTTATTTTATTTTTACTTTCATATTTAATAAATAGAATTGTAATCTACATGTAAAGTGCTTTTTAATATTTAATAAATTATTTTTCCTTCATAAAAACAACAAAAATAATTATTTCAAAAATACAACTTTGTTTTAATTCCATTTAGCTTATAATAAATTTGAAATTTTATCCTCATCCTAAGTTATAAATAAACCATTTGTTAGAAACTTATTAAAGTCTTTAAATCATATTCAAATCATATAAGGAAGTTTACGTAAAGTAGAGCATGTTACGAGTGTTAAAATCTTTTTTAATTACAAACAATTTTTTATTTTTAAATTTTTTGATAAAATTAGTACAATCAAATTTTTTAGTAATTCTAAACCAAATAATTAAATACTAACTTTCTGGCACTTTCAATGTCACGTTTCCAACAAAGAATTCAAAATCCTTGATTGTGTAAGAATAAAATTCAATTATTGTGTGTGTGTGTGTATATATATATAAAATGTGGTAATTGTTTTTAATTTTTTTGTTCATCAAAAGTGAAGTTAATGGTAATTCTCAATAATGGAAAAAAAATATAAAAATATATTCAACTTTTATTATTTATTTTAATAATTTTTTTCCACCAACTATAATTCAATGCGCACAAATAATATATATTAAGATTTAACTATACTTGATGGTAAATATAATTAAAAGAAATAGGTATGAAGATAAATTTTACAAATATTTTTCGTCAAAAAAATATTTCTTTAATATTAGCAATAATCATAAAAAGTAAAATACAATAACTCATAGTTCAAGTCATTTTTTATTTTTTTTTACTTCTTGTATTTACTAATATAATTGAATATTCTTCAGAAAGCTCCCACGAATTAACAAAAAATAGACTTTTTTTAATATTAATAGTTATTGTAAGAATAGTGATTTAAAAGGATTATTTTATATTATTTAATTTATCCATAATACTAAATTTTAATTAATTTAATTATGTTTCTGTTTTTCATTAAAAAAATTATTAATATCTCCATTTAATTTGAAAAATATGTAAAAGCTCAAGAAAAATATCATAGAAACTATTTAAAATGCAATGACACATAAAACACGACATGACTATGATTTAAAGTTTGTTTGTTTTTGCGGCTGCGGCTACGACTGTGTTTTATTTAAAACGCAGTTGCAGCTGTTTGGTTAAAGAATAAGGAGGTATATTGTTCACCGGATCCCATGTCTTTTCTGCATTGGAATCATAGTATTTGAAAGGCAAGAATTTCTTTTTTTTTTTGCACTGTTTACATTAATTACATTGTTCAATGAAGAGTGTATAGTGATGCACTATTCACTTGCACTGCGTTAACACTCTTTTTTTGTGTTATTTTTTTTAGTGTATTATTTTTTTAATATTTTTTTTAAATTAGTTTAGAGTGAATTTTATACATGATAATATTTTATCTAATTTATTACACACTAAAAAATTATAAAAACTGTAACTCTCGTCGAATATATTTTGTATGTAATGGAACTATAGATGGTTTCATAGAATAATAAAAAATATTTTATATAAAGTATGATTTATTTCATGATATAATAGCAATAATTAAATTCATAATATTTAAATTAAAAATTATCATTATTAATATATATTTTTAAATTATTTATAACCTCAATTTTAAAAGAATTCTTAACCAAATATATTAAATAACTTTTTATTTAACCATAATTTCAACCATGGTTTTAACCAAATACTTATTTTTTAAATTAATCTTAACTAAAAAAAAATTTTATAAATTTTTTTTTTTAAATTATAACCACAACAACTACTATAATAACATAAATACTTTTCATCAATAAGACATATGGCTAGATGGAGTACATACATTAATTAAGTTGATGAAATGGCTTAATAAATATGGGTCAGAGGAGAGAGCTTTAATTATAATGATTAATTTTTAATTAACTTCAATAACTTTAATTCGGCTTGACCAGGGCATAGGCTTGACCAGCTCTATTTGGAATTCCGTTACAGGAGTGTTATTAAAAAGAAAATTATATATTTTCGATCAATTTAATGTCCTAATATTAAAAATAAAAATAGATTTATTTTAATATATTTTATAAAAAAATGCTTTAAACAATAATTACCTTCTATAAATATGCTTCTAGAAGAGAAACCCTTAACGCGGTCATCTTAATTCCTCGGAGAAAATGCAAATACTTTGACAATATCGCGGGTTGAACTTTGAATTGGTGACAGCCCTTGCTTCTTTGAACACATCGATCAAATTATTCAAAGGAATGCCAATTGTCACAGCACGATTGGTCTTGGAATCTTCCCATGCATGTAAGAAGCCGCCATTGACGAAAATGTTTTCACATTATAAAATTTAAGCAGCTAGCCAGCCAAGCCCTTAAGACATAAATCTTGATCATATACCAAATAAGTATTTCCAGAGGGAATCATATTTTGATTTCAGTAATGAGTTACTACAACAATCAGTATCAAGCTCCTGCAGGTAATTCAATTTATGTTCAGATCTTTGAAAATTAGCGCCTTTCCTTTATGATTATGTGATTTAGCAAGAAAGTTGGTCAATTTATAGTTAATGAATTGATGATTTTCAGGTATGTATGCTCCACCACCGCCACCAGGTTCATATAATCCACCAAACCACCAGGTGTATCCTCCTCCACCACAATCTTATCCACCGCCGGTCCAAGGGTATCCTCAAGGCCATTACGTTGCGCCACCTCCGATGGGTTACCCTATGAAAAATGGTCCTCAACACCCCCAACAGCCACCTCCTCCTCCAGAAACTAAGCACAGGGGTGATGGATTTTGCAGCGGATGGTAATTAAAATTTTAATTTTCTTTCTCTTAATTAATTTGTATCTAAATAATTATTCACAGTTTTTACTTATTTATTTATTTATTTTCCTGTGTGACACAGTTGTGCTGCCTTATGTTGCTGCTGCCTCTTGGACATGTGCTTTTAGGGACTACGAGTGATTCTTTGTAAAATTTGTAGCTTTTATTTATCTCCCCTTGTGTTTCTTTCTTGTGGGAAATTATCATCCCTTTTTTTTTTATGTATTCTTTATCCACACAATAATATTTATTAAAAAAATTACGTGCTCTTTAATTCTTTTCTCCCAAGAGTATTCAGTAGACCCAATACAAACCTGCTCAATAAGTACTAATTTATATAATTATATAGATTATATTTTTAAATTTTATTAAATAATTTAAGTTTGTAAGTTGAAATATTTTTTTGAATTAAAGTCTAAATGATAAACCGGAAAAGAATTTGTTAAAATTTCAAGTTCAAATAAATTAATATAAGTTTTAATTAAAATTTGTTAAAATTTTTTGAATAAGTTTGTAAGTTCAAATAAATTTTACTGGCTTCTAATTATAATTAATTAATTAATATAAATTTTAAGTTTAAAAGATATTATATGTGTTAAAAAAATATAAATTATATTTAAATATTTTTAAAATTAAGATAATTTTTAAATTTCAGAGTTGTGGAGTTCTTAATGTGATATGGAATAATATAAATTATATTTATATTTATATTTTATTCTAGGTTTTTGAGAGTCATGGTGTATAAATACCTAATTTAAGGACTTGAATTGGCACGTATAAAGGAGACACGAGAACCTTCAAAATGTATGGTAATGTAGATTTCAAAGATATAACAAATTTAATAAATGAAGGCAAGTGTACAAATTCATGAAGGAAATCTTGTTCCCAAGTCGAGAGCAATTTAAAGAACTAGAGTGGTGTAGTTTCTACAAGAATGGACGCTAGTTTCAGTTCTTAATGGAATCATGTTGTTTCCTGCTTGTTGATGAACAAAAAAAAAAAAAAAGAATGCTGATTCCTATTAGTCAAGCCATTGGAGGAGATCTGTGGTATGCTGGTACCATTACAGGGAAGAACATTTGCCTAACCCCTTCCCCCTTTATTATAGGAAAGATGATTCCTGATGCCCCCTGAAGATAAAGAGATGTTAACCATGTTAGAAAATCATTTTGGCGTACAGAAATATTTGGAAGAAGTTGTAAGAAAAGAAAGGTCCTATCACAAGAAACCTACCGAAATCAATCTAGCACTGGTCCACAGCCGTTTAGGAGATGGTAAGGGAAGCATTAAGCGGCTGACTCCATAGATAGCCACTGCAAAGAAATGGAGAACCAAGCTCAACGGCCGAGGGTCTAGACCAGAGAGTAGAGCTATTGGCCCATTCGAAAATACTCCTCCGAGGCTCAAGTATTCGAAACATGCTTGGCGCATTTCGTTTCTAGCTGGATCAGGTGATGAACTAAACACCTTGTATAGGGCACCTGCCAATGTGTTAATGGTAGATGCCACAGGCTGCAAACAAAACCACGAATCATTGGTTAAAAACGGTCTCTTGTTCTCTGTTGACAAGGTTTATTAGGATTTTGCTGGACTTGTCTTACCTTACGCAGTGTGTAGAAGGACTCGAGATATTTGCAAAGGGAAGATGCATCATTGAGATTGTTCAGAGGTCGAAGAAGGCCACGTACTAGCACAACGTCTGATAGAGCCACAGTCATTCCTCCTCCAGTTAAGGGATGCCTCATGTTGAATGCATCTCCCATTAAAAGGGCACCTGGAGTAGGGTAAGGAGAAGCTGGCATGCTTCGGTTTGCCATTGTTCTCATGCCCCCTTTGTCAATTGCAGAAATGAAAGCATCATGCAGCTCAGGAGGAATCTGATATGTGCAAGTTGCGTAGTCTTGTTAAGAAATCGCTGGAATGAGAGAGAATATGTATATTTAGAGCAAGATTTGTATACCTGAGGAGCTATTGTATTTTTCAGATAGTGAGACATTTCGCCATTAGAAACAGAAGGTACTTTCTGTCCAGGGACATCTACCAAACAGCGAATCTCTGTATCACTAATAGGATAAAACAAGATTGGAGAAGGGTCGGCTAGAACAACATGTCCATGATTTGCATATGGAAGGTTGCAGTTCTCCAGCACCAAACCAACAAAACAGGATGGGATTTCAACCTGCAGAATTAGCAGGGCCCTCTTAATTTTAGCAGGCAATGAAGATTAAAGAATCCAAGTGCCAAATTAACTTGAGTACCAAGAACCTATTTGGTGAAAAATGTCATATCTTAAATGCCGAAAGTAATTCATTTTGCAATTCGGTAAAGAGTGGTCATCACCTTGGGATTGCAAAGGGACTGCCGCAGATTTGAAAAACAGCCATCGCAGACTATTGTTAATGGAGCATATGCTGTCAACTCTTGACCTACCCTGGTTTTGTACTGAACTCCTTTGATAGTTCCGTTTTCTTTTAGCAGAGATGTTACAGTTCCTTGTTCCAGTTTGACACTGGACAAAACGTTGCAAGAAAATTGAACTTAAATTGCTTAAGGAAATATTAATGTTTATGCAAATACCGCCAGAAAGATCATGATTGGAATACTACTTTGAAACAGAACATAAGAAGTAAAATGATTTCTGAAGAAAAGATTACTTGGAAAGAGTTGCAGCTTTCTCTCTCATTTTCTGAATAAAACGGCCATGATGAAAGCTTCTTCCAGCAACATCTGAAGGAAAGTTCTCTAAGGGATATGATAGTTTGGTACTTTTCCCATCTTTGAAGATCGCATATCCAAGCACTCTTTGAGCATCAATGTCACTCACACAGTCTGCAGGTACACAATTTTCTTAACACTTACTGCTAAAATCATGAATAGTTTTGACATAGAAAATTTGAGCTGGTTCTAAGGATATATTGAGGCTCTGGCTCACCTTCAAGGCCCAATTCAATTAATTTCAGGAAACCTCCAGGTTGTAGGAGTTCTCCAACAATTCTGTCAGGCTCTGTCAAGTCTCTTTCAATTACGTGTACTCTGCGACCATCCTACAATATGTATAAAAATAAAATGAGATTGCAAATCACTCCTCTAGTCATTTCAACTGCAGCAAGTGTCATGCAAAGTCACCTTTCCAAGAGTGTAAGCAAGAGCTGAACCGGCAACGCCAGCACCAACAATGATTATATCTGTGCTTTCAGGATTGCGTGCCCAGCTCATTCCATTTTCAGAGCTCTTCAAAGTACTGTCCCTTGGAATATCCATTGAAACTCTAACCTTTTTCCTTCCTTTTGCATGAAAAGCTAAAAGCAACCCCCAAACAAAAACAGAAGCAATAACTCCTCCCAATAGATACTGATATTCCATACTAGAGACTGATCAGAAAACAAGGGCTGGAAGCTGCAGTTACTACTTACTAGACTTTGCCTTTCCTTTTTAGTCAATGAGTATGGGAGGACTGATCTTGTGCCCTTTATAGGGCCTACGAAACAGCTAATTTTTTCGGCATTTTCTGTAAAATTGTTAGGTATTAATTACATTGAAATACACCTCAAGATGACTTCATTCAAATAAAACCATGGGAGCCAAAACAAGGGGTGATTAGCAGTTTCCTTTTTACATTATTGTTACAATTTATTTTATTGACCAACTCCTGTAATCTCTCCTGCAATGTATACAAAGTATAGAATCCTTCATTAATTTTGACTACACTGTTGACAGGTAGAACAGGCGTTCTGGGGAGCCTTATTTTTAAAAACTAAGGTTTTGTATCTTTGTCTATGTTTTGCTTGACCTAAAACTTGTAAGAAGTACGATTTTTGTGTTTTAATATCATAGTTATTAAACTTATTATAGAATTCATCTAATGCAAAGTTCATATTCCGGGTCAAAAGAGTTAACTTAAAAAATAATCAATTGGTTTTTAGACCAAGTTTCACTGAGCTTCTAATCGAGTGAATTTCTTTTCATATTTTTTTTTAAACTCAAATCCATTTAGATTTTGGATCATATCGCCAGGCAATACAGATTTTATAACTATGGTCAAGAAGAAATGTGTTGCTTGACCTAAAAGAAAAACCATGGGAGCCAAACAATGGGTGATTAGCTGTTTAATAATTTCAGCAAAATATAAAAACAGTTTAATGGCCAACTTTGTGGCCATCATGCTATTAATTTATACAGAGTACAGAATCACTTGACAAGTCTGGCTAAACTATGGACAAAGAGAAGAAGAGGTTAGGACCACCTTCTTTAATTAATGATTTTCTGTCTTAATACATGTTTTGTATGACCTTAAACTTGCAGTCATGTGTACAACGATTGCCCAAAAACCCAAAATAGTAAATCTTTGACTTAAGTTGGTCCATGATGCTGATAGGAATCTTAAATCATTTCCCTCGAACTTCTGCCAAATGATCATTAAAATGGCTTTGCTTTACCATAATTTTAAAAAATCTATCATGAATATACCTGTCATATAATCACTTGGGGTGCTTTTGTTTTGAAAACAAATATTATTGAAAAACATTTTATTAAAAAAAGTAATTTTTATTGTTTAAATTTGCTCTGGAAGATAATTTTAAAAAAAAAAAAAAAAAGATTAAAGTTCTAGGATCAAGGTAATAGAGGAAAAGATGGTTTAAATGGTCATGGTGGATGGTTTAAATGGTCATGGTGGTTGCAGTAAAATGGTGGTTGCTGTGGTGGTGTTATAGTCTATAATGTTGAAGTCTGTAGATAGTGTCCCTAATGACTTACGGAAGGACTTGATCTATAACGTGTACAAAACCTACCTGGTGACTTCCAAGGAAAAATAATGTAATCTCAACGCTGACCTTTAAGCTAGAATAGAGAATTCATTAATGGTTGACGTGGTTGTAAGGCAGGCACAGACGCCAGTAAAAATTTATGGTTCTGATCAAGGTACTGTTGGACTGCGCGCACACACACGGACAAGTCCGGTTATGCAACTTCTTAAGTACATCAATGAAATTAAAGACTTCTTAATAACGTAGCACATACAAAGATGCATTTTACCAAATCCCAGGAAGAATATGATTTTATTAGGGGGTTTTATGTACAAACAGATGCATTTTCACATTGATTAACCATGGTTACTATCCGGAGAAGCATAATATACATACATGGTTTAAATATTGCAGCACTCTTCTCTTTCTGAAGAAAGAGAGGAGCGTTCGATCAATTCAACTTCAGGCATCGACGGATACACTCATGGCATTTAGCTCAACGTGCTGCTTCCCCTCACTCTGAGGATGCATGGTTACAGTA